TAGACCGGGATGTTCATTTCGGGACAACCTCCACTGGTGTGACCTTTGAAGAATTTGAAACTGTCGGTGCTATTTCAGGGGTGATGAAGCCTTAAGCGAGATCCTCATTACAAAGGAGGTGCCCTCCATCCTTGTAAGTGTTGGGACCTTTTACAACGAATGTGCGCGGCGCTAATGCGAGAGCCGCATGTTCAAAACGGGCCGCCCTGAGTTCTTGTAACCCATTGGAAGGTAACAAAAACGTCGGAAGAGTCCCACTGGGAGGACGGGGAGCCTGATGAGACTTTGCCGGCGTTGTCCAGGAGTCGTCGTGTCGCTTGAGATGTCCACATCAGTTATGGCGACAGAAGCCGTTTCGCCCGAGTCCTCTTCGCAAGTTATGGCAACATAAGCGTCATCGCTTGAGACTTCCTCACGATATATCACCACGGGGGCCGTTTTGCCTGCGAGACATCCAATCCTCCTCCTCTTCCTCCTCCTCGCGGTCCTTCCGTCCCCGCAGGCATGGACCGACCGACCTTCTGCCGCATGCTGCTCGACCTGGGCCTCGTGGACCAGGAGCACCCGCGCGCCCCAGAGCTGGAGGAAGAGAGGAGCGCTGCCCAGCACGTCCAGGGTGCTGACGGCACCAGCACGCGAGCGGCACGCGTCGCCGCGCCACGCCCCGTGCCGCTCCACGACCCCAGTGCGCGCGCGGGCCGGTTGGCAGGAGCGCCCGAGGAGAAACCCCCCCTCCCGATTCTCGCCCTGCGGCCGCGCCCCAAGACCAGGGCCTTCGCGGAGAGAGCTGCCCGTCAGAGGAGGGCAACGGTACCCACACTGCTACCTTTCTCCCCCGTTTCGCTGTCGCCTTGTCGAGGCGGCGCGGATCTGCCGCACGGCAGGGCCGAGCCACGAGAACGGGTGCGCTGTAAGACGAAGCCAGGACGAGGGTCATGAATCGAGAATCTCTGAGATCTGGCGGCCCCCCCGTCGCCGCCGCTGGAGTCGCCTCGAGGTCCTGGTCAGAACGGGCGGCTCGGGAGAGGCCCGGGCAGTAGCAGGATCGGCTCCTGGTGCTTTTCCCCAGCTCGCTCGCTGCCCGGGCCCAGTGGGAGCGCGCACGGTCAGCTCTGCGCCGGGGCCTCGGCTCTTCCCGCCCGCGTGGCTGGAGCGCCTGCGCGTGCGCGTGCGCGCGGGCACCCTCGCGGCGTTCTCAGGGGCGGCCGCCTTCGGAGCCGTCGTGCCTTCGCTGCCTCTCGGCCACCGCGTCAGGGGGGTTGTTGCTGAGGGTTTGTGCCCAGGGTGTCCCTGGCCTTTCGCGCCGCTTTGCAGCCCCTGCGACCCTTCTGGGCCTCATGAGGCGTCCTCTGGAGGCTTGGGCCAGCGACACCTCGGGCCAGGAGCACTTCGGGCAACACCTGGCACGTGGCTACCTTGGTCTATCCTCATTGCTGGACGTGTGGAGCACGATGAGTTCTTCGCGCTTCGCGTGTCCCACCCGGCCTGTCCAAGAGCCAGTCGTCAAGCTGGGAAACGTTTTCAAACGAGGGGGAGGAGGAGGAGGAGAGATGAAGAGGGAGCCACATTGTTACACTGTCTCATGGCCAGGGAAGAGGAGGAGGGAGGGTCTGAGGAGCAGGAGTGCGAAGGGGAACCAGACGATGATGATGATGATGATGATGATGATGATGATGATGATGATGATGATGATGATGATGATGATGATGATGATGACGATGACGATGACGATGATAACGATGACGATGACGATGATGATGATGCTGATGATGATTATGAGGATGAGGATGAGGATGATGATGATGATGATGATGATGATGATGATGATGATGGTGGTGATGATGATGATGGTGATGCTGATGCTGATGATGATAATGATGATGGTGATGGTGGTGGACGTGATGATGATGATGATGATAGTGGTGGTGGTGGTGATGATGATGATGATGATGATGATGATGATGATGATGATGGTGATGGTGATGATGATGATGATGGTGATGATGATGATGATTATGATGATGCTGCTGATGATGATGATGGTGATGATGATGCTGCTGATGCTGATGCTGATGATGATGATTATGATGATTATGATGATGATTATGATGCTGATGATGATGATGATGATGATGATGATGATGATGATGATGATGATGATGATGATGATGATGATGATGATGATGATGATGATGATGATGATGCTGATGATGATGATGATGATGATGATGATGATGATGATGATGATGATGATGATGATGATGATGATGATGATGATGATGATGATGATGATGCTGATGATGATGATGATGATGATGATGATGATGATGATGATGATGATGATGATGATGATGATGATGATGCTGTTGATGATGATGATGATGATGATGATGATGATGATGATGATGATGATGATGCTGGTAATGATGATGAGGCAGCGGCGGTGGCGGTGGCGGAGGATGAGCAGCAGGGGAGGGAGGAGAAGGAGGACGAGGAAGAGGAGGTGCAAGAGGAATACGCGTGATGACGGTGTAGATGACGATGGTGATGGTGATGATGGTGATGACCATGATGATGGTGATGATGACGTTGACGATGACGGTGACGACGATGATGGACTAGTGCTGACGCTGATGATGCTGCTGCTGCTGATGATACTGATGAGGAGCACGAGGAATGAGGAGGAGAGTGGTGACGATGATGATGCTGATGGTGATGATGGCGATGTCGATGTTGACGATGCCGATGTTGACGATGCCGATGTTGTTGATGCGATGCAGATGCAGATGCTGATGCCGATGATGATGATGATGATGATGATGATGATGATGATGATGATGATGATGATGATGATGATGATGATGATGAGATGATGATCATGAGGATGATGATGATGATGATGATGATGATGATGATGATGATGATGATGATGATGATGATGATGATGATGATGATGATATGGATGATGATGATGATGATGATGATGATGATGCTGATGATGATGATGATGATGATGATGATGATTGTGATGGTGATGGTGATGGTGATGGTGAGGGTGCTGATGATGATAATGATGATGGCAATGATGCTGATGATGCTGATGATGATGACGATGATGGCGATACCGATGATGGTAATGATGGTGATATGAAAATGCTGCCGCTGCTCCTGCTGATGATTATCACGATTCTGATGATGACGATGATAGTGCTGATGACGATGACGACGATGACGACGATGATGGTGATGGTGGTGATGGCGATATGTTGATGATGCTGCTGCTGATGATGCTGATGGTGATGATGACGCAGAGAGGGAGGATGAAGATGTACGATTGTGATGGTGATGGTGATGATGCCGCTGCCTTTGCTGCTGCCGCTGCTGCTGTTGTTGATGATGATTCTGATGGTGGTGGTGATAACGATGATGAGGAGGAACATGAGGATGCGGCGGAAGAGGACGGTGATGATACTGCTGCTGCTGATGATGATGCTGATGATGATAACGACGATGATACTGACGATGCTGATGCCGGTGATGATGATGATGCTGATGATGACGATGATGATGATGATGGTGATGGTGCTGATGATGATGACGATGACGATGACGATGATGATGATGATGATGATGATGATGATGATGATGATGATGATGATGATGTTGGTGATTATGACGCTGGTAACGATGATGAGGTGGTGGTGGTGGCAGTGGCGGAGGATGAGCAGGAGGGAAGGGAGGAGAAGGAGGAGAATGAGGAGGAGGTGGAGGTGGAAGAGGAATACTTGTGATGATGATGGTGTTGATGACGATGGTGATGCTGATGATGATGATGATGACCATGATGATGGTGATGGTGACGATGACGATGACGGTGACGATGATGATGGTACTGGAGTTGGTGCTGATGATGCTGCTGCTGATGATGATGCTGATGATGATGATGCTGATGATGATGATGATGATGATGATGATGATGATGATGATGATAATGAGGGGGGGGACGAAGTTGAGGAGGAGGGTGGTTAGGCGCTGTTGATGCTGACGGTGATGATGGCGATGCCGATGTTGATGATGCCGATGTTGATGATGCCGATGTTGATGATGCCGATGTTGATGATGCCAATGTTGATGATGCCGATATTGAAGATGCAAATGCACCTGCTGATGCTGATGATGAAGGTGGTGATGGTGATGGACATTATGATGTCTATGGTCATGGTACCGATGATGGTGATGATGACGATCTGGCGATGATGACGACGATAATGATGCTGATGCTGCTGCTGATGATGGTGTCGATGATGATGATGCTGCTGATGATGACGACGATGACGATGATGATGGTGCTGATGACGATGACGATGACGATGTCGATGGCGACGACGATGGTGACGGTGAAGGTCATGGTGATGATGGTGATCTGTGGTAGATGATGTTGATGCTGTCATGGTGCTGCTGCTGATGGTGGTGATGATGATGATGGTGATGGTGCTGATGACGATGACGATGATGCTTCTGATGATGATGATGGTGTTGGAGCTCGTGGTGTTGATGATGACGATGCTGATGAAGATGACTATGATAATGATGATGATGAGGATGATGATGAGGATGGTAGTGATGATGGCGATGGTGATGATGACGATGCTGACGACGATGATGATGATGGTGATGATGATGATGATGAGGATGTTGATGATGATGATGTTGTTGTTGATGGTGATGATGATGATTCTGATGATGATGATGTTTGATGGTGATGATTATGATGATAATAATGATGCTGAGGATTAGCAGTAGGAGGAGATCCGGAGGAGGAGGAGGAGGATATACGATTACGATGGTGGTGGTGATGCTGCGGCTTCTGCTGTTGCTGCTGCTATTGTTGATGATGATTATGATGGGGGTGGTGATGCTGATGATTATGATGATGATGATGATGATGATGGTTGATGATGATGATGATGATGATGATGATGATGATGATGATGATGATGATGCTGACGATGATGACGCAGAAGGCGGAGGAGGCCGAGGAGCAGGCGGAGGAGAAAGCACGGGGAGGAGGAGGACGACGATGGTGCGCCGCCATTCGGCCACGTCGACAAGACGCAGGGCCGCTAAGCTCTGAAGCTCTGAAGGGTGCGCCGCCTTCGCCCGCCCCCCCCCAAAACAACCCAACAAGGAGCGCGTGCCCTTCTTCTGGGCCGCCGCCCTCTTCGACTCGCAGGACGGGTGCCGCGATATACCCCTGTGCGCCACGACGTGCCTCTCTCTCTCTCTCTCTCTCTCTCTCTCTCCCCTCCTGGCGGGTTTCTCTGACGTTCTCGTCGGTTCCTGGAGGTCCTCCTCCTCCTCCTCCTCCTCCTCCTCCTCCTCCTCCTCCCTCTCCTCCCCCTCCTCCTCCTCCTCCTCCTCCTCCTCCTCCTCCTCCTCCTCCTCCTCCTCCTCCTGGGGTGCGTTCCAGCAGCTGCGCCTTGCCGAGGGCCCGGAGGCGCCCGATCTGCCCAGAACGGCCGCCAGAGACCCGAGGCACGGTCAACCCGCAGAGTGAGGATGAGCAACTCTCCATGGTTGCCCCTGCATCTTTCCCTTTCGGCCCATCCTTGGCCGCTGTCGCCGGCCGCGCCCCGCCCGCAGAGTGTCGACATGGCCTTCCGAGGCCCTGGTATCCTGATCGTGTGCCCTTGCGATACGGGTTGACTGCATGCCTCTCGATGTGCAGCCGAACGCTCTGCTTTTTCGCCTGGCCACGAGGGCCCCCCTGCGTCTGCGGAGCCCTAAGGGGGGCGCTGCCCCTTTCTTTCTTGCCTCGCCTATCTCTTGCCGTATGTCCTCATAATGTACGGGCTGGCCGTAGGACCAAGGAGCCAGACCGGCTGCTACACGTAAGGGTGTGGCCCTTCGCCGGAGCGTCCTCTGGTGCGCGGTTTTCTCGGGGGTCGCGGGGGGGGGGGACCACCGTCGCGTCGCACGCAGCGACCAGCAATCGGTCTGAACGAAAGGAGGGGATAGGGAAACGGGGGGGTACGAAATCTGCTGTATGCAGCTGGTTTCGGCCCCGCCGCCGGGCCCATTCCTCGATACATGGGCGCCTTCCGGCGCCGGGAGGCGCTGGGAAAATCAGCCACACGTGAGCTGATTCTCTGCCCTACCCTTTGCTACCCCCCCCATTCGTTCCCCCCGAAGCAAGCCGCGCACCAAGGGGTCACTCTGGCTGGGCCTGGTGGTTTTCGGGCCATACCGCGGGCCTCTGGCGGCCGAGATGGGGACGATTCGGACACCTCCGGGCGGGAAGCGCCTTTCCGCGGCGAGAGAGCCTCCAGGAGGCAGCGGCCACCCTTGCATGTATCGCCATGGTGTTCGTGTTTCACTTTCTGGTTCCGGATTGGAGTAGTTTGATCGCCACTTCCCGCCGCGCAGGTTGGGACGCTCGAGGGAAAAGCATGTATCGCCATGGTAGGAACGGGTTCCGAGGGTGACGCGCCCTAGACCCTGGAGATTTCGCGCCCCGTTCTTCGTCGTGAGCCGTTGCAGGTCGGCGCCGGGGCCCGTGGAGGGCCTCAGGGCCCCGAGAGCGGCGCGCAACTCCCAGGACCCCTTTTCATCTGCTGCTGCGCTGAGTGTCACGCTGCGGGGCTTGCTGCGCCAGAGGAGGCGAGCGGCCCCCTTGTCCAGTTCAGAACCTGGATCGATGGCGCCGATCAGGGAACGGAGGGGGCTCCGCCGTGACGTGCCCAGGCATTTCATTCCGTCGGGAGTTGTCGTCGTTCAAGCCTGTGGGGCTGAGGTTTTGAAGGTCGCCCCCGCGTCGACCGTCGTCGCTTCGAGTTTGGATGTGGCGCCAGAGACCCAAACTGGACTGGGGGCTGTCGGAGTCAAGGGGGGCGTGGCTGCTGCGTCTGCTGACCTGGGCGTTGAGCGCGGTGACGGGGTGGAGGCCCCGAGGCGCCATGCTCTCTCGGTGGATCGCGCAGGCTTGCGGGCGTGCGCGGCACAAGGCGTTGATTTCATTGCCCCGCGTGCTCGCCTTGCCTCGCCAAGGAGGACAGGCCCGAAGAAGCAGACGCGGGGCCTGCATGGGCGCGCTCTCGTATCTTGGGCGCTGGTGGGGAGTGCAGCGTGGTGTGCCCGCGCCGCGGAACCCGCCCTGATGCGGATGTCCACGGATTTCGGCTCTAAAAGATGTCCGAGGCCCTCGATGTGAGAGGCTTCCGCTGCAGCCGGGTGCCGCGCGCCCCGGCTCTTCCCGACGAGGCCTCGTCCTGGGCCCGCGCCCCGCCTCTTCCCGACGAGCCCCTTTACTGCCTCCCCCAGATGTTTTTTCAAGATTCGGTGGAAGGCCGCACTGGGGGGGCCGGGGGTGCCACCAGGTGGTTGGGTGGGGGCGAGTTCTCATGGGGTCGTCGGCTTCGAAGGGCGTCTTGGGGAGTTGCGATTTTTCTGCACTCCTTGGGTCATCTACCTAGCGAGGTGGCCGCGGCGAGCCTGGCGTTG